GAACTTTATTGAAAATAAATCGTATTACAACAAAATGAATCGTTAATACTGACTGGAAAATAAGACAATAAGATCAAAGTATAATTTGATTATGTCTTATAAGTAACATTGTCATTATTGGTGTAATCCTTGAAGAGGACGCATCCCTCTAAAATTAACACGATCCTTTGAAAGTACACTTAAAATTTAAAGTGAAAATCGACGGCACTATTCTTTTCGAAAGACAACATTTAAAAGAAAATAAAAAAAGAAAAGGACTCAAAAGGACCAGTAGATAGATAATTTTTGTTTTTTTTCCCGTAAGTACACATGGTTTTGGTTTCATAATTCACAATAACTTAAACTTGAGACATGCTTAAGCGATATCAAACTACTTACCGATTGAACAAACCCGTTGATATAATTTTTGTTTTTTTTCGTAAGTACACATGGTTTTGGTTTCATAATTCACAATAACTTAAACTTGAGACATGCTTAAGCGATATCAAACTACTTACCGATTGAACAAACCCGTTGATATAATTTTTGTTTTTTTTCGTAAGTACACATGGTTTTGGTTTCATAATTCACAATAACTTAAACTTGAGACATGCTTAAGCGATATCAAACTACTTATCGATTAAACAAATCCGTTGATATAATTTTTGTTTTGATAATGAGGCAACAACACCAAAACCTATAAAACACATTAGCTTCCTATTTATCTTATCTCTCGTATCGGCTAAGTCTCTATAAAACACATTTATACGATAATGTTAGGTATTAAGTGTTAGGTGGAAACTTGATTGTTACACAAGAAAACATGAACTTGAATCCAAGGCTGAGTAGTTAGTCTTTTGTGTTGTCCTTTTCGATGACATCTCTTGTACGATGAGCTAAAAGCAAGCAGTTGTTATACTCACAATAAACCTATAGAAAAAGGGTTAATTTTTCTAGACATTCTCCGACTATGGTTCGAGTTTTAAATCAGTCTTCAAAAATCAAAACACTTTAATTAATTCTTTAGTTTATATGTTGAGGAGAAGCTAGAAGTTTTTTTCAGTATCTGTTCAAATAGGTCAAACCATTTGACATGAACATCCACACTTCTAGTATTTACGGTGTTCGAATCCGATACCTCTAGAAATAACAAGTCCCTTAACATCCTTTTATTGTATTTTAAATTCGATGAGCATGTTATAAATTTGATTCATGTCAAATTTAACCTAACATTTAACGTACAAATGATGATTAAGTTTACAACAATACATAATTAATATGATACTAATACTTTAGGGACTAAATTATAATATTATTGAAATTCGAAACTAATTTAGAATCTGGGTATGATTTGAGTATGCCACTGCAATTATGCCTCAAAAAAATCCCTGAATTAGGTTGAGAAAATGCAGTGTGGGTGACCAATTTCTGGCTAATTGAGCGGCACGTCAGCGCTTAGAAGAAAAGTAGCCTGTTTCTTTAATTTTTTTGAGTTAATTGCCTTATATGTCCTCCAACTATAACTCCATTTAAAACTAGTCCTTAAACTTTTGAATAATCCGATTTCATCCTCAAACTATGACTCTCATTCTAAATTAGTCCTATATTGAACATTTCAATTTTATCCCTGAATTACAGACTTCTTTCTAAATTGGTCCCCAAACTTTTTGAGTATTCCAATTTCATCCAAATATATAATTAGCTTCATCCATAATTTAACCTAATTTTTTTTTCAAACTTATAATAATATAGCTTGTCTTTTTGATTTTATTAACAAGAGATGTGGTAGTATATATGTATAATTTGAGATGAAATTAGAATATTAAAAAAGTTGGGGGACCAGGTTAGAAAGAGAGTCGTAATTTAGGGATAAAATTGACTTATTCAAAAGTTTAAGGACTAATTTAGAATGATAGTCATAATTTGGGAATAAAATTGAAACATATAAAAGTTTGAGGATCAATTTAAAATAAAAGTCATACTTTAAGTGCATACGATGTAATTACCTCATATTTTTTTTGGCCACGGCCCTGTTTCTTTGATAAGTTTGGCAAACCAAGCACCAACCTAAGTGTGCGTACTCATAGGCTCATAGCCTATTTGGCCAATGAAACAATATAAATGAAATTCTTTTTCTTGGCTGCCAAACACATTTAACAAACTAATAATATAAGTAGGAGTAGATATGGTAAATTGATGGGTAGATGAGGATACCTTATCCTCATCCTCCTACTTACCTAATATTTTTTTAATTCATCACATATTTATCATCGACGACGGATAAATTTTTTAAATTCATACTCATTCACGCGGGTACATTCTTAAATATATCACCACAAACACTACCTGATTGGATACTCACCGCTCATCTCGTACATGTCTGTACATGTCTATACCCACCGATTTGAGATAGGAGAAAGTACATACTTCAATTTTAAAAATGTTTATACCATAATATTTGGTTAAATTACATGTCATGTCTGATAAAATCTTAGTATTTACAAAATAGTCTTTGGAATTATACATAAATTTATAATGATCCAAATTTTATATGGTAGATAGTTAGTGGGCAGACGGATTTGGGATGGATGGATGGGGAGCGGGCGGATGCGAGGGGGGTTAGGACTTAAAACCATCACCTACCCACTACCCACGGCGGATATGACTTTTTACATCCACACTCGCCTTCTACCCATTAAACTTATACCCATTCTCGCCCAAATTGGTATGGATATGGTGCGAAGTCCACGAGATTATACCCGTCTACTATCCTAAGTAGGTGTGAACAAAATTTGAATTAATTCGAAAAATAAATAAATTTTAAGCTAATAAAATCAAATTATTCAAATTACATCCGAATTATTTAAAATTTTAAACCCAATATTACAAGTTAAATAAATTAACAGATAATGTAAAACATCATCTCAACTTCAACTAAATTAAAACCTTATGTTTTTAATAATCATATTAACTCGAAAAATAATAATTTATAAAATAAATTTAATTATTAAAATAAATACAAATTTATCGTCGATATTTTCTCCATTATATGCTAAAGAAAATAAACAAATAATTCATTTAAAATAATTATTTTATATAATTATTAAAATTTAATGTGTCGATTAATTAATTTAAATTAAATATTATAAAAATCTTTTATGAGATCGACTTTAATATCTATTCTTTTTTATCCGTAATGTTAAAATTGGAATCTTTCATCTTATTTTAAAGATTTAATGAAGTTTCATCTCTAAAACAATTTAATAACGTACACAAATAACCATTAAATTAAGTTAAATCAGTTTTATCAGTAAAATTGTAGAAAATATAAAATAATCATTATTTACAAATAATTATTAGAATTTATTAAACTATTGTAAAATAGTAGTCAAATTTATAAAAAAAAATTATAATTATTTTATAACATATAATGACTCTTTTATAATAATTATATATATTTAAATATCATTATATAATTTTTTAAAACTTCAATGTCTTAAAAAATTACTTTAGTATAATATAATGATGTATTTTACCCCAAATATTTTTACTCACACGTAAAAAAACACAGATTATAAAAATGAAAATGAGAGGCTAAGATGGCATTTAAAATAATTAATGTTTTTTTACTAAGAAGTTGTTTGTTTGCCTCTTAATGGAGTCATTCAACGTTGAATGCTAAATCGTTCAGCATTCAGCGCGTTTGTTTCGCACATCTGAACGATTAAGTGCTGACTGATTCAATAAAACAATGCTGAATGATTTAGCACAGAAGTACATTATAAATCATTCAAAGCCAGTTATCAAATATCATGTCACATTCATAGTCAAACCATTCAGAGTCTCTGAATCATTCAGCATTTGAATCATTCAACGTTTAATCATTCTGAAGTAAACAAACAGATGATAAAAAAATAATATATGACAAAGTGCTGGAGCGTTCATTATTAAATGATTGAGAGTATTTAAAATAAATAGTATTTTTTTGAATATAACCACTGATATCCGATTTAATGATTGATTATTTCGGATTGAGTATTGCAGATGCAAGGGTAACCCTTCCAACCTAATTTCCTCCATTCACAATGACCAGGATTCAAACCCCTGACTTTGCTTAAAAGGTCTAATGCCTATCCCATTAGACCAACTGATTATTGGTGAACATATATTACTTTGTAATCAAATTAATTTAATAAAAAATTAATATTTTTTATTATTAACAAAAATAATTAATGTTTTTTAATATGAGTGGACGTCACCCTAACCTCAAATTAGGAGACCAATCTGATGGTCCAAAGAGTCATTTCCACAACCAAACCAAACAAAAATGAACAATTAAGATATTAAAAATATCGGCATTATTAATACTATTATTTTTTAAGAATAAAAAATAAAAATTATTGTTCGTAAATCTTTGTCTGATAGCATCTCTATTTCTCGCAATCTTTTTTATTTTGTTTGTTCTATTTATAATTTATGGGTAAAGTACACTAAAAGTCTCTAAATATATGTTTAAATATTTTTATAGTCAACTTTTAGAAATTTATAAAATGATCATAATATTTATCGGACTATTATAAAATAATAATTATGATATTATAAAATAGTCACTAAAATATTAAATTATTAAAAAAATGTTTATTAAATTAATTAAACTTTCCTATATAATATAAGTGATTAAAGAAATTATTGTTGTTCTTAGAGGTCACGGATTCAATAATTTTCATGCATTAAGGGTTATAAAATAATTATTAAAAATAATGAAATTATTATAATATAATTATTAAAATTGTCAAATTATTATTATTATAGTAATTATTTTTGTAATAGTTTGAATAATTTAGTGGTTATTTTATAACTTTTGAAAATGAAATTGCTAAAAAGATTATTTGAGTATAGTTGAATGACTTCTATATACTTCACCCTTCATTTATTTCCGTCGAGAGTAGCCTTTCTGCTATAAAATCTTCATTTCTGAGATTGCCCGCACTTACAAAAGCTCTGGGTTTTTTCTCTCTCTCCAAATGCCCAGTGCGTTCTGACATTTTTTCTAAGGATTTTTGATTGATGGAAGGCTAGATTTTGATTGATCTTACATAAAAAAAAGAACCCTATAACCCAAATTTCGACGTTCCTTTGAATTTGCAGTTTTTTGGGTTGATTTTCTGGGGATGGCATCTTCATCAATGGCGAGTCCGCTATGTACGTGGTTGGTGGCCGCTTGCATGTCTGTCACGTGCGGAAAAGACCAGTCTCAGTCGTCAATGCTCCGTTTACCAACTTCTTCTTCCTCCTCCTCAAGGAGACTCGGCCGTTGGGCTCGCACTAGAAGGAAAGCTCTTCTTTCCCAACGCGACGGCGGCTCGGACAGCAACCTGAACGGGGGCTTGATTTCGTCGTTTTGTGGATCCGGTATTCAAGGCTTGATGACCTCGTGTTTAGCTTTCGAGCCCTGTGATGAGTACTATTCCTCCAAAAACAGTAGCCTTTTTGGTCAAAATGGAGGCTTTTCTTCTTTATTTGGATCCAAAAGCTCTCCCTTCAATAACAATCGCAGGCAACGCAGACTCAATCGAGCAGCTAACCTTTCAGGTGAAAATTGTTCAAATTTTGTATTCAGTTTCTGTAGATTATATAATCATCATTTTTAATTATGAATATCATAGATCTTGCTCTGCCTACCCCCTTGCCTTCAGTTCTTATTTTATCTCTGGCTAGATCTGTAGGCTGATATTGTTCTTTCTTTCTGTCTTGTGTTGTCTTGTCCATATGAACATTTTGTAACAGTCTCTCATGGGTTTTCTGCCACTTTCGATATAAAAAAGAACATATTTGTCTAAGCACACAAAATTTCTGGGGTTTTTCTGTATACATGTGATTGCTTGTTTGTGTGTACATTATCTGCTAAATTGTGGTGATAGAGAAAATATACACTTCTTCATGCACATAATGTCATATAAATCACCGGTTAAATCACATATGGTCTTTGGGTTACTTTATATGATAATGTAGGAGAAACCATGGCTGTAGCTGTGCAACACACCAGAGAAATACCAACAAAGAAGAAACCTCCTACGAACAAAAGACAAGTAGTTGTGACAGGGATGGGAGTGGTGACTCCGCTCGGACATGATCCCGACATCTTCTACAACAACTTGCTCGAGGGTGCTAGTGGTATAACTGAAATTGAGGCTTTTGATTGTGCACACTTTCCAACTGTAAGTATCTCTCAGCTGCTTTTCGTTTGCACCGGTGCTTGTCCTTATTGCTCTCGTTTTCTCTCCAGAGAATCGCCGGAGAGATAAAATCAGTCTCAGCGGATGGTTGGATTGCACCGAAACTTTCCAAAAGGATGGACAAATTCATGCTTTATATGCTTATTGCTGGAAAGAAAGCCTTGGAAGACGGTGGATTAACTGAAGATGTAATGGACGAGTTAGATAAAGCGAAATGCGGAGTTCTGATTGGCTCAGCAATGGGTGGCATGAAGGTAAATTTGCAGTCTGTAGAACATACGCCTTCATTTTAAAGGTGATTCATGCTTGGATATAAGAAATAGCTGATAAACCCTTCTATTCATAAGCATTAAACTTGACGCAAGTAAAACACGAACACTAGCAGCTGGGCTCATTATTTTAGTATAACAGAACATGCTGACAATCCTGCATACTTTTAAATGAGAGTGGTACGGTTTTGTAATACTAGCTTTGTGTTTAAAGCCACGTAAAATCTCTTGAATCATAAGTTACAGTGTATGTAGCACCCCGCATGAAGGCCTACAACCTTAAGAAACACTGTTTTTGCAGTTGGTTTTCCTTTTTCTGTCCATTGATTCATATAGGTGGCTTTTGGAATGAAAAGGTTTTCAATGATGCAATTGAAGCTTTGAGGATCTCGTACAAGAAGATGAATCCTTTTTGCGTGCCGTTTGCTACTACAAATATGGGTTCGGCAATGCTTGCAATGGATTTGGTGAGCTTAAATTTAGAATTTTCAATGGTAAGATGGATTTTGAAATTTGAACTTCGAGCTATTAAGTCTAAACTGATGATTTTTTCAGGGATGGATGGGCCCTAACTATTCAATCTCCACTGCATGCGCAACAAGCAACTTTTGCATATTAAATGCAGCAAACCACATCGTTAGAGGCGAAGCTGTAAGTTAATGAAAGATCAAATCCAATATATTGTGGTCTGTTTTTATTACCCGTATCTGAGGTATTTGAAATAAAATCGCAGGATGTGATGCTTTGTGGTGGCTCAGATGCAGCAATTATACCGATTGGTATCTCTTTCCCTGTTTTGTATTTGTCATCATTTACAATTTTTCCAGTTGGTAGAAGCAGGATATACTTGATTTTATGTTTTTTAATTCAGGACTGGGAGGATTCGTGGCATGCAGAGCACTCTCTCAAAGGAACAATGATCCTACCAAAGCTTCACGCCCTTGGGATGCTGTAATATTTCAATTACTCTTGTGCTTCCAGAGTTTCATTTTTCTTTTGCTGTTGTTTTTTATCGAGTTCTTGAACAAAAACAGTAAAGCTGAGAATGAGTTAATGAAGTAACTTGGTGGAAAGCAATGGTCATTAGTTTTATCATTTAAATAAGTAAGCAACCCTGCTATTTTGTCTGCCTCTGTTGTTCTCATGTCTGTTCATGGTACTTCGACAAAGTGGCTATTTCTCAAGTACTCTTTAATCGTAGGCGGTTTAAAGGCAATTTTTTCGGTCTTCATCATGAGTGTAATTGTTCCAACTTTTATACAGAATCGTGATGGATTTGTGATGGGGGAGGGTGCTGGGGTTCTGCTTTTAGAAGAATTGGAACATGCTAAGGTACACTTTCTTCGACCCTACAAGCCTTGTTTGAGCCATAGGTTTGTACCTAGTGGTTTATGGTGAATTTTCGGGGAATGCACATCTGTTTCCCCTAGAAGATAAAATTATCAAGTTTAGATTTGATTTTGCAGAGGAGAGGTGCGACCATCTATGCAGAATTTTTGGGTGGAAGCTTCACTTGCGATGCTTATCATATGACCGAGCCACATCCTGATGGTAATGAGCCATGTCTTTACCACTGGAATTCTTTCTTCTTTAACTCGAATGTTATTTTTATCCGGTATAAGTATGTCTTTTCTGAATATGCTACTGTAGGAACTATTAAACTAAAATTCATCTTGTGAAACCGGAAAACAGGAATTGGTGCCATTCTCTGCATAGAGAAGGCCTTGGCTCAGTCTGGTGTACTGAGAGAAGATGTAAATTACATTAACGCTCATGCTACATCTACACCATCTGGAGACATTAAAGAGTACCAGGCTCTTCTCCATTGCTTTGGCAAGAACCCCGAGGTAATTTTGGCATGTTATTCTATTCAATCTGCTTTTCTTATTTCTCAATTGTTATTAGTGATATGATCTCCATTATTTGCAGTTAAGGGTGAACTCTACAAAATCAATGATCGGTCACCTATTGGGAGCTGCTGGTGCTGTGGAAGCTGTTGCAGCAGTTCAAGTATGTAGAGCTTTGATTATGGTTTATGTTTGAATTTAGGAGACAGACTTCATGGGCATAATTTGTGCTGAATGTTTGTTATTTCTGTACTATTCTAAAAAATGCAACTCGTTTCTTCTGGCAAAATACTTTCCGTTGCAATTGCGTGTTTGTATCTCTTTTCCTATTCTTTTGATGGGACCTGAGCATCGGCATGACGATGTTTATTTATTGTAGGCAATACGGACTGGTTGGGTCCATCCGAACATCAATCTCGAAACCCCAGATGGAGGAGTGGTATGTTGCTGTTGTATCTTCCCTCGTTTTATTTTTCATTGTTTTTTTTCTTCTTTAAACAGTTATATTCCCCTGGGTTAACCAATGATACTATCTTATATTTCCGACACATCTAATTCAGGACATGAATGTGCTGGTGGGGCAAAAGAAAGAAAGATTGAACGTAAAGGCTGCATTGTCTAGTTCTTTCGGGTTTGGTGGTCACAACTCCACCATCATTTTCGCGCCATACAAGTAAAATTGTTCAGAATATAAATGTATATTGTATCTGTATCACCTGCAGATAAATATAACGTCCATCGGCAATTTGGTTGGTCACTTTGTTAATGCAGTTGGTACAGTATCAACAAAGTATATCATTTGTCGACAAACATCAGTTTGAAAGGGTTATTATACAAAGTATAGGTGGCCGAATAGTCAGAGCTTCGGAGTTGTAAGGAGAGAACTTTATCGCCGTGGTTACGCTGTTGTTTCTGATATTTCGTTTTCTCCTGATATCTAGCTACAATGGAGCTTTTACTCGTGTTTTTTAGTTGACATGGGCCGTTGAACCAGTGGATGTGGTAGATGTTTAGTTTTGGTTATCATTTACAAGAAGATATTAGCGGTTTGATATTCAATTTGTAATGAAATTTGAGCTGGCTGTATTGCCAGCTACGCTTGTAGCTACATCATCATCATTATTATGATTATCCCTAAACTGTCACCACCACCAACCACCATTACAGCACCTCAGTTTGAGCTTTTATTTTTCTCTCCTACACTTGCATGATTGAACTATTACTTATATGGCGCGAAAATGATGGATGAGTTGTGGCCGCTGAATTGAAAGAATTAGACACAGCAACCTCTACGTTCAATCTTTTTCTTTTGCCCCACCAGCACATTCATGTCCTGATATGATATAGTATCATCGGTTAGGTTAACCCATGGAAATTTATGCGTTAAAGGAAATGAAAACTAATACATACCACTACTACATCTAGGGTTTCCAGATTGATGTTGGGATGGTCCCAACCAGCCCGTATTGCCTACAATAAATAAACAGCATCATGCCGATGCTCAGGTCCCACTGAAAAACGAGTTGCATTAAAACATATACTGAAACCATAATCAAAGCTCTGCATACCTGTACCGCTGCAATGGCTTCCACGGCACCGGCAGCTCCCAGTAGGTGACCGATCATTAATTTTGTAGAGTTCACCCATAACTGCAAATAATCACAAATGCAGTAACAGAGAATAACATGCAAAATTTACTCAGGGTTCTTGCCAATGCAATGGAGAAGAGCCTGGTACTCTAATGTCTCCATATGGTGTAGGTGTAGCATGAGCATTAATGTAATTTACAGCTTCTCTCGGTACACTAGACCGAGCCAAGGCCTTCTCCATGCACAGAATGGCACCAATTCCTGTTTTTTCGATTTCGCAAGATGATTGTCAGTTTAATAGTTCCTATAATAGCATTTGTTGCCTCAGAAAAGACATGCTTGTACAGGATAAAACTAACATTCGGGCTAAAGAAGAAAGAATTCCAGTGGTAAAGTCATTACCATCAGGACGTGGCTCAGTTATATGATAAGCGTCATGAAGCTTCCACCCAAAAATTCTGCATAGATGGTCGCACCTCGCCTCTGCAAAATCAAATCTAAACTTGATAATTGTCTCTTCCAAGGAACTTCACCATAAACAACTAGGTACAAACAAACCTATGGCTCGAACAAGGCTTGTAGGGTCGAAGAAAGTGTACCTTAGCATGCTCCAATTCTTCCAAAAGCAGAACCCCAGCACCCTCCCCCATCACAAATCCATCACGATTCTGTATAAAAGTTACTTCATCAACTCAGTTTTACTGCACTTGTTCAACAACTTGATAAAAAAAACCAAGAGCAAAAGTAAAATATTACAGCATCCCAAGGGCGTGAAGCTTTGGTAGGATCATTGTTCCTTCGGGAGAGTGCTCTGCATGCCACAAATCCTCCCAGTACTGAATAAAAAAAATCAAATATATCCTGCCTTTACCAACTGGAATTAATTGTAAAAACAAATACAGAAAAAGAGAAAGAGATACCAATGGGTAATTGCTGCATCCGAGCCACCACAAAGCATCACATCCTGCGGTTTTGTTTCAAATACCTCACACACATATCCTAAACCCTGAACCTGAACCCTAAAGCAGAATATATATCGGATTTGATCTTTCCTAAACTTGCAGCTTCGCCTCCAATGATGTGGTTTGCTGCATTTAGTATGCAAAAGTTGCTTGTGGCGCGCGCAGTGGAGATTGAATAGTTAGGGCCCCTCCTTCCCTGAAGAAATCATCAGTTCAAACTTCAAAAGCTCAAAGTTCAAATTTCAAAATCTAAATTTAAGCTCACCAAATCAATTGAAAGCATTGCCGAACCCATATTTGTAGAACCAAAGGGTATGCAAAAAGGACTGGCCTTCTTGTACGAGATCCTCAAAGCTTCAAATGCATCATTGAAAACCTTTTTCATTAAAAAACCCCCCACCTATATGAATCAATTGGACAGAAAAATCGCATAAACAGTTTGTTTCTCATGCGCCACGTTATGAAACTAACGAAAATCAACATCTCAGTGACCAAAACTTAATAAAATAATAACGCAAGTGATCAAAAATTAAGTTTTCTGAATTCAGTGAGAAAAATGTTTAAATATTAAGTGAAGTAACAGATCATGTAATTTATCCCTAAAAATATTAAATTTATAATTAAACGTCTAATTGAAAATTTAATTAATAATAAAGTCTATAATTATTTTTTTCATCAAATAGACAAATTTTTTTGGACCGAACCAGTATGAAAAAGGTCACAAACTCTAACACGTTGTCACGATGAGGGCAGACTTAGGGTTCAATGATTGTGAATTGGAGATTCGAGTGGAGGAGGAATTGGGGGACCAATTGAAGCCACGATCAGGACAAGAGTTAGGGATTTCAAAGAAAATGGGAATTGAAGAATACGAAGGGAATTATATGGATAAGTCAACCGGGCTGATGGTGGATCTTAGTGGGACTGTGATGGGTCATGAGATGTTGGACACGGGAGGAGAGGCCCAATTCCTTTAAATTTTAATTAATTAGGCCTTCAATTTTGTTTAAAAAATCTTATTAAACCTCTTATTTTAAAAAAAACAATTAGACGTTCAAGTTTTATTGAAAATATTAATTAGGACCCTTAAATTATTTCTCCAAATTTTATATTTTTTAAGAGAGAAAAAATTAAATTAAAAATATATATTTTCAGTGATTGAAGGAGGGTTTATTCTCTTTAGAAGTTCAAAATTCAATATTCATCTGTAGGATTTGTGTGCGTTATCATTTATTAATAGTTACGAAATATTATAAAAAATATTATCTTATAATTATTCTAAATTATTTAAAAAGATTAATAATGAAAATGAACTTAAATATAATGAAAAAATATTTTCTAAAAGATTAATTATACATATATGTAAAATTTAGACTTCACAATTCTTTTAATTTTAATCTTAGTACCGAAATCTCTAAACTATTAAGTATTAAATAAAACAAATTATATTCCCCATAGACTGTCCTATTTTATTAATTTTGTTTTCGGACTGTCATATTGTGCCAAAAAAACCAAAAAAAGTATGTATGTGCCCTTTAATTTTTTGTTGGTTTAATAGTAATTCATGCCCTATAAATTTAAATGTTGTATAAATTATTATCAAATATCAAATTTAAATATTTTATTTAAAAATTTTGATAATTTAATTCTTCTTAATATTCAATCAAAATTAAATTGTTATCATGTAATATATAAAAGAAAAAATAACCTCAGTGACCAAAAATCTCAGATAATATACGATTTTGATCAACTTTTTTTGGATTTAGGAAAATGACCAACAAAATCGTGATGCGATCTCTAATTCGCATTGCGATCTCCACTATCGTAAATTCGCGTTGCATTTCGCGTTGCGATTTTCCAGTTCGCGTTGCGATAGTTGAAAATCGCGTTGTGATCGCAACAACAACTGTAGACTATCGCAACGCGAAATGCAACACGAATTTACGATAGTGGAGATCGCAATGCGAATTAGAGATCGCATTACGATTTTGTTGATCATTTTCGCAAATCCCAAAAAAATTAATCAAAATCATATACTATCTAAGATTTTTGGTCACGAGGTTATTTTCTCCGTATAAAATTGTTTAATTTTCTGGACTATAGAAAGAAATCATTATCGACATCCGACACAGTCATCAGCTACTTTGAGACCGTCACTTTCCGACCACAAAAACCTGTGCCCAAACAGGTGTACGGATTACTCATCATAAACGTAGCCTTCATTTTTCTTCATATCTTAGCACACGACCAAATTTCAATAAATTGGTCATACTTCCGCGTATCACAGATTCTTACCTTTATTATCTTATGGTTGGGATTAAAGCCCGGAAGGACAATAGAGTATGGGACCGTCTATGCCTCATTTGGCTATACTCCGGAAAAAAAATCGACCTAAGATTTTATGTTAAGAATAAATTTAAATTTATAAAATTTTAAAGTGATAAAAGAAAACTTTTAATAAAATAAAATATAAAAAATTTAAAATATATGATAACTTTAAATTTATTAAAAAACGACTGTTCTCATCTACCGTGAAAACATCTTCCTATCCGCTAATTATATATTGCCTTTTTATATGTTTATTCTAGTTGATTTGTTGGAATGGGATTTTAAATGTTTTAAATAAAGCTATAAGTATGAATTTTGATTGTGAATAAAAAATTAAATATAATAAATATTTATAATACTTAACTTAAATTATTAGATCAATAAATAAAACACTATTAATTAACTATAAAAGGTTTAAGTTCGGTCGAGTATTTTGTGCGCGTTGACGATGGGCGGCGAAGAGACCATAAACGCACCGGCGAGGTATAGAAGCCCCCACGTCAAGTGGTTGCACCATCCTTTTGGGCCCCACGCCTCATTGTATTATTTGATTGATAGCAAAGTGGGCCGATGGTTTTGAGTTCAGGTCCATTTCATTGTAACTGCCCCACTTCGCTTCCTTCCTGTCGGTGGTCGCCGCCTACTCCAAATCATGAGTCGGATCGTAAAATGGTTCAAAAAATATCTAAGCTCAAATTTAAAAGGATAATTATTCCTTTTAAATGTTTCAAGTTCGAATATATTTTTTTACATATATGAGTTGAACATTAATAAGTTGACTAAGATATGTTAGTCATATGAGATTTTGATATTATATTTTATCATATCTCACTCAATAGGTTAACGTCCAACTCAGGCTGCCATCAATTTTTTAACATGAATGACGAGTTTAGAATATAATGTATAGTCAAGTGGCTATTTTGTAACTTTTAATAGTAAAGGGATTTAATAAAGCATAATCCTATATCCAAGACCATATGTAACTTTTAATAGTTATGAAACTCAATAAATAATATCTTATAATTAGGGGACCATTTGTGTAATTCACCCTAAAAATAAACCTATTGCATGAGTACAAGTAAACTGCAATAACAAATAGTAATATATAAACGTACGTACACAAGGTTCCAGCAATGCATATAAACCAAGTTGGCTGCACCAGCTATTTACTATTACTACTATTCTTGTCGGCGTGATCAGGGATGGAGGAGAGACGGGGAAATCGTCCTAAAATTTTAAAATAATTATATATTTTAGATTTTTATACATATTATAT